CCGCTAAGCATGAGCGCCACCGCTCCACAGCCGCCTCGTCTCTAAACCGGCTGAGGTGCGGTTGCCGCGGCGATGTGGCCGCGTTGAGCAAAATCTCAACCCCCCCGCTCCGTACTATGTCACGGCATAACTTGAGCCCGACTGTACTGAATGCAGAAAGCCCTGAGTGGGCCACAGCGGGCTTTGGAATCCCTTCAAGTCGGACAACTTTTGCAACTTTTACTCTGTGTGAGCATCTACTGTTCTCAATGACACACTTTCCTATCGGATTGTTACATCTCCAACTGAATACATTTGGTTGAAAGTAGTTATGTTCAGCCCCATCCTTGACAACATTGTCAGTATTTAAAAAAAAAGCAGCCAAAAAAACCCCAAAACAACCAAACAAAATACACCAAACAAGTCTCGATACAAAACTTATTGGCGGTTGTTTATGGACGCAGTGTTAGCATCACACATCGGTTTCTGGAACTTAAGCCGGCCACCGATCCAGGATCACATGAAATGTGAAGCGCTTTTCACATATAAAAGTCCAAATAAGCCAGTGGTTCTCAATTATTTTCTGTCATGCCCCCCTAGGAAGAGGAAAACATCTCGCCCCCCGCACCACTATAAATAGTATCATTTGTCTAGAAAATTGTTCTCAGTACACCTTTGCATAACACGGTATCCTTATTAACGTATAAGAGAATAAAAAAGAAAGAAACATGGACCAATTTACAACACAGAATAGCTTTACTAACTGTAACAGAAAAGATTTAAAGTGCATCTGAAATTCAAAAATAACATTAAATCCTTCATTTAACTATAAATATTTTTTGACTGACCATGTCAAACCACATGAGACCGAAGAATAAAATTACAAAACCAATAACTAATAATGCATTCAAACTAATCACCAACATTATCTCAGGAGCACAATATTTAAAAAAAACTTTAACCAGCAAAACAAAAATATATCAAATAACTTGTGCTTTTTTTTTTTTTTGATCAAAGATGAAGTGGCGACAACGAGCACGTTTTGCAATGCCCAGCTTTTCGAAGCGAGGTTTGAAGCAGGACACGGCAACTCTCGACTCCTGCTCAATGTGTAGCCGGGACCTTATTTTAGTTTACTGAAGTAGCAGTCACAAAGCGGCATGATCGTTGGCAATATTCGGCACGTTTTCGCTGAAAAAAAACTCAAGCGTCTTATCAGCGTGATTGGGGTGTAATGTCTAAGTGACGCCTTAATTTATTTGGCTTCATGCTGTCCGCTACCACCATTTTTAGACATAGTAAGCTCACCAATCCTTCCTCGTCTGGTCCCGTAGCCACAGTGGAGCTAAGTGCGACGTACGCCTCGTCGTATTTCCTCCCTTACAATGCTCCCTGCGCAAACTCTGCCAATGAGAGCGTTACTGCCCCCTAACATAGTGGAGGTGCAACTGCACTTTATTCTAGGACAGTAAAAAAAAAAAGCATGTTCCCCGAGGTCAAACGCGCCCCCCTTGACGGAGCCTCGCGCCCCCCACTATTTGAGAAACACTGCCTTAGGCCAATATAATACAGTGCAGCCATAGGGACAAACGAAGAATAGTTTCACAACTGACTCAGTGTATTGTTGGTGTATTCATCTATCGCAAAAGATAACGAATCTATACATATGGGTATTGTTATGTTGTCTGTTTGTGTCGCTGCATTGTTTGCATTCAAGCAGCATTTGCACAGACGCTACTCTTTGTCCTGTCTATAGTGTTTTGCATTTTTATTAGCACTAAGCTCAACAAATTGTATAACCTTTAGTGACTTTGAATTTTCATATTCCACTGTACTGCAAGTCATGGTCAATTCTTTTCTTATTTAATTATTTTTGTTACATTTCTTACTCAGGACGTACACCCAGTCCTTGATGCACTGCTACGAGGTGATACCAGAGGGCGCTGTTTGCAAACTCTACTTTGACTTGGAGTTCCACAAGCCCTCAAACAGAGAGGCCGATGGCAAAAAGATGGTGGCCATGTTGATCCAGGTTTGGCCATTTCTGAACATATAATTCCTTGATAATTATGAACTAATCTATTAGTTAATAATTACGAATGGAAATCTTGGTAAATCAAATTATTGTTGACGTTAATTAATGGCAGAAGTTGAGTTGAAAAAGTAAAGCTGTAGTGTACATTGTTCTACGGCTTCAGTAAAGATAGGCTAATTTTTGCCCAATTTCGATATTCAAAATAATAATGTCATACCTGTATTCTAATTTCTATTCATATTCATGCCCAACATTTTGGCCACCCGACAAGAGATCCAATATAAAACCTGTAAAGATAACAAGGCTGACTGACTGAGTATGTTGTATGTTGTGTTTTACAGGCCGGCATTTATTATTCATATCCACAAGTGAATATTCCACATTATTCTAAAAATGTCCAAACGCGTGTGTCTTTCTTTGTTGACAGTATGTTTGTCAAAAGCTGAAGGACGTTTATGGTGTCGAATGCTGCGCAACAAGCATCCTCAGTCTGGACTCCAGCACAGAGGACAAGTTCAGTCGTCACCTCATCTTCAATCTTCCAAATGCGGCTTTCAAAGACAACATTCACGTTGGTGCGTTGTTGCCGCAGTGCGCCGGCTCTTGTCACGATCTGTAACGCCATCGACATGAAATCATGTTATCGTTGCTTTTAGGTGCTTTTATTCATGCCATTCTTCAACCTGTCCTGGACGGATGCAATGAAGAAGGGTTTGTACTTCAGTTTGGTGAAATGATTTACAAGGGGTTTTGAAATGAGGACGATTCATTCGTGTTTGCAGTCATCACAATTTCATTTATAGCAGTCGAACGCAGAACCAAGAGACTGACCACAGTTTCCTTCACGTGAAAAACAAGGACGGACACCCTGCTCTGTTTGTCGATCTCGGTAAGACACACCATATATGTTTTGTCGGTCTCTCTATGTATAGTCACGTCTGTTTGTTGTAAATGAAGCTTCAGTCAGATTACGGTAATGAGAATATGCCTGTGAGTACATTGTCACTCTACATGTGTTGCTGCAGTGTTTGTGTTAAACCATCTACGCAAATGCTAGTTTTGTTAGCCCGTCTAAGGCATTTTGCATCGCAAGTTAGCATTAAGCTAGCAAACTTCCATCGGACAAAATTGTGTGGCTTGGTGAACCACACATGGAATTGTCTTTGTTTTATGTTTAGTTTGACAATAAATAAACCTTGACTGGGAGTGCCAGTAAAGAGCTTTTCAGAAGAATTATTCACTATCTGTTGCTTGTTATTCAGCTCACGAGCACCAAGCAAGTCCTAACTTTGACCACTTGTAAGTCTTTGTATGTGCCTCTTTCAATGACACCCAACAGGAGTTTACACCAAGAACAGAAATTTCCGTCTTTACAAGTCATCCAAGGTCGGGAAGAATGCTGCCTTCTCCTTAGCCGACGACAATAAGTTCATCTCCAAACTCAGCAAGGGTGTGTCTCCAGAGGAAAGTGTGTTCTTGGCGTCTTTAGTGTGTAATGTGAGGTATGTCGAAATCGATTTACTGAAAAGCAAATCCACTGCAACATTCGACAAGCATTCTTATTGCTGTGTCCGGTCAGCTTTACGGGCCAGAGAATTCTAACGTGGGAAGGCGCAGACGCTCGGGCCTGTCGGACCACGAGGGTTCAGCGCCAAATGTGTTTACCGTCTGATTCAGGTGAGGACTTGGGGAGTCACGCTGTGGCGTCGCAATGTTCTTGTTTCATTGACTCAAAATGGTCCTTTTTAAAAAATTTTGACAGGCTTGCTTTCGAGCTGCCTCACGTCTCCTCACCGAGAAGTGGATGACTTTGTTTTGACGGTGGTTAGGAGGGATGCCGTACAAGGAAGTAAGTGTTGTGATTGGAAAGATAATTTGCCCTTTTAATCCTGATCATCATCAGAATACTTTACAAATTGAGTATAGTTTACAAGATAATGAAAACGCCATATTCACCGTCTCAAGAAATTGGAATGTTACATAAGTAACAATCAAAATTAATTTTATCAAAGGAATAGGCCTTATTAAAAAAAAAAAAAAAATCTTTGTGTTTAATGAATCTGAATGTGTTTCACTATTTGAGTCGAACGATCGAAATGTCATATTTTTTAGACGGGCCTGTCCTGTGGTCTATTTTTTCCTCCTCGTGTCGACCATCTCTGCTCTTCGCAGGCATCAGGCGCTGGAACTACTTTGCTGCCCAACAGCTGCTGGTCTACGACATCGCCAAGTACCGCTGGTGTGACAACGTGGGTCGCTTTCACAAAAGCAACAACATCATGTGTGTTGAGTCGCCGACATCCCCTCGATCGCCGTCCGCCCGCGAGCCGCCATTTTGGATGCAAGTCCATTCTTTGTGCACAGGATCGTGGTGGATCTCAAAGAGGAAGTGTGGTACCAGAAATGTCACGATCCTGAATGCAGGAACTTCAGATCCTCAAGTAGGTTGCGAGGCAGTACAGTACACACATTTTTTTTTCATTGCTTTGTTTTTAGTCACAGATAATTATGCGGCTATCGTGGTATTAATATTAAGCACAATAAAATTGTAATTTTTGTTACAGGTTACCCACTGCCGCAGGAGATGTGCATCAGTTACATCATGATGCAGGTTAGTAAGTGTTCCGTTTTTGACAACAGCAAGACATGATTCCAAGAGCCATTCATTTTTATCAATGATGCTCAACTGAATTTTAAAACAACCGTAATGATAATGAGCATGTCTTCTCTGTACATTTGTCAGCAAAATGGGCGTCCATCAGCGACGGACTGACTGACCTTTAGATTTGCGTGGCATTCATTGATGGATGAATCATATTTTATTTAAATGAATTTCATATCTTGATATAAAGTGCAACCCTTTTCGGTCGTCTCAACCCCATCCAAAAAAACAGTCTCTTTCTCACATTGAAAATATGCCAGATCAATCCTGTTCTGTCCTGTGCTCCACGACAGGATGAGGAGGACCAGGCCTTCGTGATGGACGAGGAAGGCAACATTGAACCCAGCCAAGCACCAAAGGAGGCGGCTCAGGATCAGGAATCCAAAGTCGTGTGGAGAGGAGACGCCGAAGATGACCGAGAATTCTCAGACTGCCTTGACGACTTTGAGATGACCAGCAGCGAAATCTCCGACGAGCTGCTGCTCAGCTGCGTGTAAAATTTCCATTCCCGGTAAAAGATGACGCGAGTCCAAGAGAAGTTACTGATGCACTTTATTGAAATCTCAAGTCACAATTTTTCTCACAATTCAAGCCCCCCCCCCCCAAAATTATTTTATACACACGCAATTTGCTTTGAAGGGGCACGGTCTCAATTCCAAATATGACGAGTCACCTTTAAGCCATGTTGTGTGACAAAGGCAGCATGAAAAATGCTGCTTATTCTGTGCTCCCAAGTGAAGCGTTCACAAAAACCAACTAACCCCCCACTTGCATAAAACTTACCAGGCGACATCGTTGAGAAACGGGGGAATGCAAATATATGCAAACAACATTCAATAATATAATTCTGTATTATAATACGAGGCACAATTTAAATATTCATCTGAAACAATTTTATATAAATATCCACCTATATGAACACACTTTGAGACCTTCAGTTTACACTTCTACTATGATAATTATCAACCATTCACTCGATTTGGTACCCTGTTGAGGAAAGCAACCCCCCCCCCCCCTCAAAAAAAATGTCCGAATTGTCTCTGGCAAACATGTTCCCATTCAAATGTAACATTCCACTTCGATCCGCTTAGACCTTAACGCCAGCATAAAGTTTATCTATCTGCGCTCTAAAATGACTCTGAAGTTGTGCCCTCTTCGCCTTGAGCGTTGGTGTCAGCAAGCCGTTCTGCACAGAGAACATCTCGGAGTGTAACGCAATGTCTCGCACCTGAGGAGATTAAATGAAAAAGTTATACAGGTACTGTACATGTCCAATCAGAATATTGTGGAAAATGTCATTAGATTTTAGAAGTGAAACTCAGTTTTTACACTTTTTCTACATTTTGTCATGATACAGTCTAACTCCAAAATGAATTACTTTTATTTGTTCCCCTCAAACTTCTCCACGCAGAACCCCATAACGACAACCTGAAAAATGGTGGCCTTTTTTTTTTTTACTAAGAAAGCACGTGTATGTAAGTGTTTAGAAAGGATGTTGTGCATAAAATTTTGAGAGGGAAAACTATTTTTCCCCCCATTCTGAAATGAAACAAAGGGAAAATGTCAAGCTCTATGAATACTTCCTGATTGAATTATTCATTTAATAAACAATCATTTGATGATTATTTTTGTATAATTTTTAAATGGCAATTATCCACAATTCAACATCTCAAAAAATTTGAATTCACATTACATAAGAAATAAACAAGAATTTTCAATAAATGAATTAACCTGAATTTTTTTTTTGCCCGTTTTATGAATCTGTATAAAAATAGTTCTATTTTTAATTGAACTCCTGAAATAAACTATTCTACCATATTCTAATTTGAGATGCAGCTATCAATATATGCTGATCCATTGATCCAATACAATCAGCAATTGAAAATTGCACAGATCACCTGTTCAAAAGACTTGAGTCCAGCTTCTTTGCCCAGCTTCTGGATGTCCTCCAAAATGGCATTCTTCACGTCCTGCCGGCAATCACAGCAAACATTGGCATCCAAAGAAATTGGGCTGCAGTGTTTTGGGGAATGTTGTTGTCAAAATAAAGTTGGTGTGAATTCTGTTGTCAAAATAAACTCACAATGCTCTTGCACAACTCCAAGTAGGAGCCGCTGATGCCTCGTCTCTTGATCCAAATGGGTAAAAAGTCAGGATCGGGGACAACGATGGCCACCAACGATGCCTTTACAAGTGCAACAAAAGGTCAAGTCAACAAACAAATTGCGTTTGGTATGTTGCGGAAGAACGACAAACCTGTAAGCTGTCACCGTGCACGAATATCTGGGCCACCGGGTCGCTGCGGTTGTAAATGTTCTCGATTTTCTCTGGGGCAATGTATTCTCCTTGAGCCAGCTTGAAGATGTGCTTCTTCCTGTCGATGATCTTCAAAGTGCCGTTCTGTCAAAAAATGCAGCAAGACGTTAGAAAAGGGAACCTTCGTCGTCATCATCATCCCCCATCTCAAAGTCCTGCGCTTACTGGAAGCCATTTGCCAATATCCCCCGTGTGCAGCCATCCGTCTTTGTCGATGGCCTCCGCCGTTTTCTCGGGGTCGCCCAGGTATCCCAGGAAGACATTTGCTCCTTTGACGCAAACCTAATGACGGTTCGGAAGAGAACAGCATTTAAACGCTTACCAGTTACGACATGAGGTATGGCCGAAAGAGCGTCAAAAAACTCTGCATCCGATGTATGATTGAGAAGGCCTTGAGTAAATCATTCCAGTTGAAGTGAACGGAACCATTGATGAAACGAATGAGCTGGGTAAACGTAAATATTTGTGGGAAGAGCATCAATTAGGGACTTAGTGATTCTTCAAACAAAAATCGCGATCAATCAATTTATGCATGATTTGTCCCCGATGTCAAATATTTAATAAAAAAATCAATCTGATTCAAAAACTCAATCGAAAGTGGTTTGAAAGTTGTACAAATCAAAGTTCAACCGCCAAAAAGAATGGATTGCGTTGACCCGCTCTCTGTCACTTGAGACTGCCTGAATACTTTTCAGACAAAAGTGATGATAGGATCGGAATGAAAAGTATTTGGGAACCCAACAAATGTGTTAACTCCTCACCTCTCCTTCGTTGTTGCTTGCTAAGTAGTTCATGTCTGGCACATCCACCAGTTTGATGGCATTGCAGGGCAACGGAGGTCCGACGTGACCTGAAAAATAACACACCACGCACCTTCAATGACTTGCCCCGAGAACCGATTATCTTCCTTTCCCTGGATGGGGAGATTTGGAAAGAGGTGAACTGTTACCAGCTGTCCAGTCACCAGGCATGGACATGGAGCATCCTGCTGTGCATTCTGTCTGGCCGTAGCCTTCGTAAAACTGAGGAAAAGCAGAACGCTTAGAGCGTCACTGAAAACAATCCGAAATACAAGTGGTGCCTGTGGTTACGCATCTCACCTGACACCCCAGCGCAACTCGTAGGAAAGTGAGCACGGGGGGTGACACGGGCGCCGCGCCTGTAAGCATCAGCCGCACGCGTCCACCCAAGCTCGCCTGCAGAAGGAAGTAAATGTAAAGAACAACTGAGGCCACGTTGACCCAACAAATGCTGTAAAAATGTGCCGAGACAGCATTTAAAATCGGGTATTTTTCTATATTGCGGCTTTTACATCTCGCGCGGGTGATCTGGAACGTAACCCCTACGTTGAAGTAAGGGGTTTACCGTTTTTGGCCATTTACCTGTACTTTTTTGAAGATAAGCTTATCCCAGATACTGTCCCTCCTGACCACGCCGCTATTCAGCTCTGAAAGCTTCCTCCGGAAAGCCAGATCAAGCATCCATCTTTTTAGTCGGGTGTTGGCTTGGCTAAATATCTACAGAGAGAAACAGTTTTGCATACGACCTTCTGCTCCAAGTGTGCAGTCCCACCCCATCCCTCAAAAACAAGAAAATCCTAAATGTGGGCTGACCTTATCAAACATGCGGTTTAGGAGACGTGGCACCACAGGGAAAAACGTCGGCCGCAGTTCCTTCAGGTCGTCCATCAAGAGCCGAATGTCGCCTTGGAAGAATCCGATACGAGCTCCTTGCATGAGGATGACACCCTGATGGAGCAAGTTGAAACCAGTTCATGTTCCATCCCAGGCAGGTGTCATAACGTTGCTCTTGAAATGGGCTTGGAGTAAGTGTAAGAAAAAGCAGTCAGGGACATTTTCTGGGCTAGGGGCCAACTTCAGAAGTTGCAGCATACAGAGTCAGAATCCAAACCAGTGAATATTAGTGCTAAACACAACCACACCGTTGCAAAAAGTGACAAGGATGCACATTGGCATATTGACGACAACAACTTGAACTTTTAAACATTTGTTTTCGTGATGAAACATGCCCGAGTGAACCGTCAGTGGCGTACCTGAAGAACTCTCTCAAACATATGCGCTAAGGGGAGATATGATATGAAAACATCACGACAGCTCAGCATGCCATTCGCCTGTAAAAGACACACACAAACCACATGCACATCTCGTATTTAGTGAAGGGGGCGTGGCATACCTGCACCACTCTCTCTAACATATGGGCCAAAGGGAGAAAGGAGATGTGTACGTCTTTGGCAGTGGCCTGCATTTTGCCCTGACGCCACACACAGAAGAGTGAAGATGAAGAAGGAGGGGAGTGTGGGGGGTAAAAAAAAAAAAAAGCATTGACTGCAGATGATCTGGACACACGTGGGAGAGGAGGTCAAGGAGCAGATGAAAGAAACCAGATATCATCTTGTTCACGTTTAGAGTCTGGGAATGGATTTTAAAATAATCTATAAAATAACTGTATCCCCCCCCCCCCACCACCTTTACCTCTGTTATTTTAAGAAAAGCTGCAGTGTTTGAGATGACATTTCCATGAGTGAGGATTGCACCCTTTGGGTTTCCTGAAAGGAGAAATTAGATTAAAAGCTTTAAAAAATAATAATAATAAAATAGAGTGAGTTAAACAGTTAGACAGGATAGTTTTCCCATATTTACCTGTAGTTCCAGATGTGAAGCAGATCAGCGCAAGGTCCTCTGGTTTCGGTGGCTGTAATCGTGTTACACAAAAGAAAAATCGGAACTAAAAATGCACCAAGTCTAGTCACTGTTACAATAATGGGTTGCTGATAATCAGTGTGCCTTTAAAGTGGATATATATCTCTAGCTAGCTAGCTAGCCGGCCAGCTAGATAACTAGCTAGCTTGCGATAGATAGATAGATAGATAGAGAGACATTTCTTTCTTCTACTCACCACAGGGTCATGGTAGTTGGCTTTACCCAAGTCCTGCGAAAACAGTAAAAATGTACACTGGGGAAAAATGTCAAGTCTTCATATTCTCAGTTGGCCAAAATGAACAAATGGACTTCTTTGTATTTGGCTGATTGAATAACGGATTCCCATGTGACCGCCCCTACTCCAAACAGAGACATCCATTTGACAACTCTCAGCTAGAAATATAGACCCCCAAGAAGCTTGTATCTATCTTTTAAAGATTCTGCGACAAACCAAGATGCCCCTCTGCCTTTGATTGAACTTAAAATAAAAGCCAAAAATTTTTAAATGAGATGTTACTTTGAAAAAAAAATAATCTCCAATTCAAATTATAAACTAACAAATATCCAAATGAGACTAAACTTGTTTGCCGCAAAAAGACAATAGAGCAGTCAAATATGCAAACCTCAAACGCCTTCAGGCTCACAACGTCGACTCCGCACGTTTGTCCGCGGGCCACCAGCTCGCCGTCAAACGGCTCCATCACCACGATCGTCTTCACCGTTCGCTCTCTCTCGTTGAAACAGTCGAGAATCATACTGGCTTTTTCGGGCAGGTCGCAGATCACCGTGCTGATAGCGGCTGGAGAACGTGTGGCAAATTGACAATAGGCATTGTCCTCCACGCCTGCACCTCGCCACACACACCGATGACATCACAGAGATAGCGAACGCACCTTTATCGATGATGAAACTGATGGCCTCTGCGCCCAGCGTGTCGTACAGCGGAACGGTTACGAGGGAGTATGTGTAACAAGCCAGCTCAGAAATGGTCCACTGAAGAATAGAAAACATGATCAGTTGTTTGATAATGACAGAAAAGCCCAACTTGCTTCTGGTCGTTTTGTCCGTAAACAGCGGCACACTACAGAAATGTAAAAAAAAAAAAAACAATAACGTGCGTATCACGACAGAGGTGTTTTGCTATTTGAACCGATTGCAAATATAGTTTAAGTTATCTCAGCCAGCACAACCGCTTATGAAGGCACTTGGCAGATTATAGAGTGACTTGGCAGCAAGTCAAGGCTGAAATGGGATTGGACCAAAAAATAAATAAAAATCACATCCACGGGCACATACTGGAAGCAGTACAGCCAAGAGAAAGCCTACGACATGAAGAGAATAGACTGCCGGAAATCCATGAACGTAATTTTATGAAACGAATATTAGAATTTATGTAGGAAATGTGGGTCAGTGTTTCTGATCATATTTGGGACAGCAGAGAAGGCCTTGCTGGGTTTGACCATCCACACACATGTACGGAGCTAATTCCGAGCACTTTAAATGCCTCTGAATTTACGATTCTGAGTCAAATGTCACACACACAAAAAAAAAAATCCAGAGTTCAAGTTCCAAACTTGTAAGACTTCAGCTCATCTAAAGCAATGGTTCCCAAATTTCATTGAGCCAAGGCATCCATTTGACAGCAGAAAAAATCTCATGGAACACCAAGTATGGATACTGAAATAATGATAGTTTTGGGGGAATCGCTGATCTAAGGCAGCCTTTCTCAAATGTTTTAAGGCAACATGCCCCCCCCTTCAACAACCTAACCAATCCCCGGCACATATGATTAAAAATTATTATTTTTTTGGTCTGCCAGCAATGAAGGCTAGTAGTGATGGCATAGACCGCTAAAGACAATTGTTGCAATCATTTTGTGTTGGCCAAGCATAGCCGGTGCCCGCCCCCAAAATTACGGAATATACCGCAGAGCCAGCTTGTGTTTCTTGTGCAAATTAGCCACCTTTCAGTTGTTTCTGTCCTAGCTGCTCAGCAAAACAAAGCCAAGTCAATGATATAAACAAACTGGAGGTGACCTAGAAGACGGTTTGTGATTG